CCCCAAGAGTGAAAACAAATCCTGCGTATAGCACTGATATCTTGTCAATGAAACATTGCTATATATCGAACAGTTTCAACAGGTATAACCTATATGAACTGATATTCCGGTTTAATTTTGTATCAGCCTCAAGTGACGATGTTTGTATCAAATCCAAAATTTACTTTCGGTTTATGTATCGTCTGGGAAATGTTTACCTGTATAAACCCTTTCTGGCTCCTTCCTTGTGGAACAAATTTCCTGACGTGGGAAAAAAACTTACCACAACACGCGGGTTTAGATCGTTCTGTAAAGAACACTTTAAGAACAAACTGGCTATAAGATGACTGAACTGAACGGCACAAAAAGACCACACTAATATAAAAGCTTTAATACTGTTGATAGTTATAGATTGTTAATGTTGTGTGAATGTGATGAATCTGTGTATATGTTGTGTGTTTGTGACGCATCCTTGACTGTATATATCCTACGTTTCTAAAGAATGTTAACTGCACGAGCCAGCTGTATCGAAATCATGTAATGTAATATATTTCTACTTAAGAGGACCAGATTGGAAACAAGTTGTACTAACTGTAGCTTTATCTGTAAATCCTCGTTAAATAAAGTGTTATTATTATGATTATTGTCAATCAGCGACTATATATAGTATATTATAAAATTATATCATAATTGCATGTTCGTGATTCGCTCTGAGCGTGTCCACATCGGGCAATTAAGCTAAAACGTTTGCTTGACCGCGCGGTGGAAATCGAACCCACGACCTTTGGTTTGCTTTTGTCCAATCATAGATATCTTATATACACTAGATAGTCCATCCAATTATTCTACAATTCAAAAATTGAAGCCGTGATTGCAGACTCAGGATATTCCCATGAAATGAGAAGATTCGTATGTTTTCTATTTCTTAAACAGGGAACTTAAATATTAAGGTAAACCTATTCCAAATACATTTTTAATTTAAACTATTCAAATTGTAAAGTTATTGTTGTTTTTAAGAGTTTATTAGCGAGTGGGAAATAGGCCTACCAACATGGCCGCCCACCCAGGGGGGTAACCGCTGGAATATTCTTGGCTTCAATTTTACTAAAAGAGATGCGCTATCTAGTGTATATAAGATATCTATGAGTCCAATGCTCTACCAACTGAGCTATACAAGGTCAAGTAGAGGTCCGAGTGCGTGATATTTCGGATCTCAGTCTAGTTCATCTTTTTTAAAAGTCTCAGTTTATTATTGTCTATACACTCTGTTGTTGAATCCGATCATTCCAGTAGGCCTATATATTCATGCATGCATGTAGCCTGCATGTAGTTCAATCTTTGTGATCTATATATCACAATTAATATATAATTCAAGTCACAAGCTAATATTACTTAACTGTTTTCAAAACAATATATCGAGCATTTTTCGCATCTAGGTCATAATTTATAGGCTTCAATTAACGCGCCATTATTGTATAGTCATCAGAACGATCATCACAGCGCTGAAGCTCACAAAGGTTAAAGCCAACAGTCCACTTAATTGTGTTGTCAATTGTTGCACAACACTAAGCGTGCATGGACATGCTTTTAACAAATATTTCTTAGATTATAAAATCTAGAATGTACGTGTGCATACATAAATCATTTTTCTTGGAAGACGCATTGGAATCAATCCTTTGAAATGTTTTCTGTTGTAGCCAAGAAAGCTTTGCTCAATTCCATGTTCAATTCAAATTATTTGGCGCGTTTGGGCTTTCTACACTCGATGAAACAGTTAATTAAAAAATGCTAGTCATTGAATGTTTAAAAATATTCTACTCCTAATTAAAAACGAACTGTGCGATTTAGTCGCCATGCACACTGCATATTTTGCATAAAAAAAAACGAGGACACGTTGCACCGCTGAGAGGCCCTTCCGTTACTGATCTTTATTCTGTGGTAAAGCCAATGTCTATGGAAGCCCAAAGTTGTTTGCTAACTTAATTATAACTCTATATTCACGCTGTGTATCGAATATTAGGACACTTTCCTCTATTTTTATCATTTTTACGGTAAGTGTTGCTAGAACATATATACGCTCCCCTTCACTAAATAAAGATGCCTAGTGGATTTTATTGATTTGTTGTACCTTAGTTTATATATATATATATATATATATATATATATATATATATATATATATATATATATATATATATATATATATATATATAAATATATATATATATATAATATATATTTATATATTCAACAGGCTGTTGTGCATCATAAGCGTAGCTAAACAGTTCGATTTTTACATAGGAAGAAAGAGCTGTTATTTAGCTTTTCTATGACACCTTGGTGTTTATGTTTCGTTTTCGATGCAATTCCCAAGAATGTGATTTCGACCAGCAATTTTTATTTGACGAGTATGTGGCCATTTCTCATCGTTACGACTTAAAAAGAGTATCATTGAAAAGCTAAATAACTGTTCTTTCTTCCTATGTAAAAATTGAATTGTTTAGCCTCGTTTATGATGAACGACAGCCTGTTTAATTTCCGTAGCGTTTTTTTTCAGACACCCTGTATATATATATATATATATATATATATATATATATGTATATATATATATATATATATATATATATATATATATATATATATATATATATATATATATATATATATATATAGAGAGAGAGAGAGAGAGAGAAAAATTATCGCAAACGTTTGTTCCTTGAGGCTTGGTATTCCCAAGTGGACAAAAGTTCTGGCAATGACCATATTGACATTCCAGACGTTTATGGGTCACTGATGCATCCAAATTAATAGCTAACGAACCGTATAAATAGAGGCCTGGTTATTGGCTTCTTAGTTTTTTAATATCAACTGACGAAGATCGGAGGTTTCTGATCGAAACGTCTTGTAAAAACTTTTTTATAAACGTGATTACGTTTTTTACATAGCTAGTGACAAGAAACTTTTAATCTTTTAATATATAAATATAAATCCTAGCTGCAATTTTAGCATTTTTCGTCATATATATATATATATATATATATATATATATATATATATATATATATATATATATATATATATATATATATATATATATATATATATTTATATATATATATATATTACTAGACGCATTGGAGTCATCTAAGGATAAAACAAGATTTCATCGTCTTTAGAAACCCGAGGAGTTGTTCTCTACGTTATTGAATACGATTGTCTACGATTTATATAACACTATCGTGTTGTGAATTAGCACTTGTTTTTTTCTCTTTTCACTTTGTATACGGTAAGTGTCAATTCAGATTTTTAGTGTTTTTAGTATTTCGATTTGATTTCGCAAAATTAAAGTTGATTAATAAAATGTATTATATTGATATTATCATTGAATTTACCCCTTAACGAGTAAAATCGTCTGGCATTCGACAGACTATACCGATAGGATGAAAACCGTGCAATGCAACTTAATCGGTTAACGAGACACATGCCATGGGCAGATATTACTTTGATGAACCCATTGAGCTAGCTGGTGCGCTCTCATCTTGACGAGTATACAATCGTCTCGCATTAAACAAAGACATGCAGTACGTAAAATAATAAAGTATATAAGGCCCTTTGCAACTTAATCAAATAATTTATTGCAGATCGAATTAGAGACTATCGGATCCACATTATCAGTTCTCCTGTCAATTTAAATCTCGGCAGGGTTCAGGGACTGGATTTAGAAAAGTTTTGAACTAAGACTTTACTTAAGGCCGTTCTTCATCCGTGCGTATACAGTTATTTCAATTAAAGTTGTCCATGCATGCACGAGCAAAGCGGAAAAGTCGAATACGAGCGGAAAAGTCGAATACGAGCGCGAAAGGCTGCTGGGAATCGCTAATAAATTCCTGGGAATCGCTAATAAATTCATTCATTTATTAGCGATTCCCAGCATGCAGCCTTTCGCGCTCGTATTCGACTTTTTCGCTTTGCTCGGGGGACAACCTTGATTGAAGTAGCTGTACACGCACGGAAAAGTTTAAATCCATGCAATTAAAGTTTCTTGTGAAATAACTAATTGAATAAAACCATAGCATCTAGACGGTATAGGCCTATATATACCAGTCACCTTTGAGCGCGATGTTATAGTTAATGTTATCATACTTTAATATATAATCTTCGTTCACTGTACAAAATACACGCACGCCATTGGTCAAAATCGATCACGTGTGTTTTTGTTACCTGGCAACAACGAATTCGGCGAGTGCACTATTGACAATAACGCATAAAAAACGTGCATTATTGAAAATGGCTTCCCGCAAGGCTGTCGGTTCAAGGTTTACACGAGTCAGTGAAGACGAAATTAAATCAAATTGTACATAATGCAGTGTCTAAAAGTATAAAAAGCCAAACAAACTGGTGCAACAAGGTAGATAAACGAAGCAAAAGCTGACTTTTCACGATTTTGTCGCGTGTAAAATTCCTGCTTAAAAAGTCTAGTCGGGTTTTTCATTGTATTCGCTGTCTTGTTTTAAAAACAGTTCTACGCAATTATTTTGCAATGTACTTAAAATTAGACTATTGGTAAAAACTTATGATGAAAATGTGTTAGTAAATGTTCTTTTCCAAACTGGAATTGCTTTGTTTTAATTTAATTTAATTTTGTTTTGTTTTGTCTACAAAAGGCGTACAGTAATTGCATGGAAGCAGTGAACTCAAATAATATATTAAATGGGTTAGAGACTTTAAGTTCGTGTTTTGTTTACAAATACATGCACTTGCTGACTGTACAATGAACTCGAAATTTTCAATACTGCACTCGGCTTCGCCTCGTTCAGAATTGAAAATTTCTCGATCTCGGTCAGCTCGTGCATGTATTTGTAAACAAAACACTCACATCAGTCTCTAACCCTTAAATAACAAAGTATTTCTTCTCTGTCAATAACAGTGACAGAGTTACCGCTCAAACTTACCTCAGTTTTTCCCAAGTGTCAGCACTTCTGAACTGTCGACTTCATCTGCTGCCCTGTGACGCCTCCAAGAGAATTAACCCAACAATAGTGTGATTTCATCATTTTCATTTTTTCCCACTTTCTATAGAAACAAATTAGAATATTCATATACATAACATGGACGGTGGATCTTACCCGATGCAAGACAAATCTCGGCAAGTACAGGGCGGCCATATGCCTTCAGCACCACCGAATTACGTGGCGAATGTACACCAACCAGCGGGAGGAATTATACAAGCGCCCGTGATACCGTACAACAACGAGCATGTCGAGCAGCCGAGTGGCGACACAGTTGTTCTTATAGTAAGTACAATAAACAATTCCCATTATAGACTAATTTTAAAACTAGGCAAGGAGATGCAAATAAATCCGGCACCACAGCTAGAAAGAGCATACGAAATTGAGTACCATTTTCAAATAAAGTACCATTTTCGGCCCAATTGTGGTAGCAATTTCCGCATGCACGTATATAATACAAAAGCATACAAAATTTGCAAACTTTGCAAGGCTATATTATCCACATTTTACAACATTTCGCAGTCCAACATTGCAATTTTACTCATTTTAGTACGCTCTTTCTAGCTGTGGTGGTTTATTTGCAGAATATTGCAGTTATAGTTTTTTCAATTAAAAGGGCTGAAATGCGCCTTAAAAACCATCAATCAAATCTTTTTGCGTTTCTCCAAATTGGTGAATACTAACCGTAACCATGCACGAAATGTTTTTTTTTTTCACAAAATAATTTAAATTTATGTTGCTTTGCAGCCCTCACAAGCAACTTATATCAGCGACTATATGAGTCTATCAATTTGTACCTGTCTCTGTTGCTTTCCGCCTGTTGGAATCGTCGCAATTGTGCTGTCATGCATGGTAAGGTTAATTGCGACACTATATATGACGTCACATTGTATAATGACTTTCTGAAAAAACTTGGATATCGCGCATCGAAAAGATAAAACTGTGCATATACATGTATGTGCTATGTCAACATATACTGCAGCAAATATATGTCAAATATATATATATATATATATATATATATACAGCAAGCCATTATGCGATTTGGTGTCATGAGAAAAATTTGCATATCCATCGTTAAATATCTGACAAGGCAAAGTAATCGTCAGTTCTGAAATGCTTTGAAATTTGAAAACCTTTAATTGGAACCTTAAACCTTAAACTCTAAGCGCGCAAAGCTTCATGGGAGCAGAAGTTTCAAGCTTAGTGGTTGAATATTGCAGCTAGTTGTCAATGAATAGTTCTCGTATAAGGAGATATTTACCATGTGTCTCTAAGAAATAGGCCCCATATATGATTTCTAAACTGACTAAATGATGCTCCCATTATACTTTGCACGGTTAGAGTTTAAGGTTTAAGGTTTAGAGTTTGAGGTTTTTCAAAGGGGGAGTTAGCTGTATATATGTTCAAAAATGTTGTCAATCAATTTGCTATGTTAAATAATACATGCATGCGATATACAATTTTCGTATCTGCTCCACAATTTAAAACGATTTTTTGTTATCAAGGTTGGTTCGAGCATACGTGATGGTGATTTAGAAAGAGCAAAGATTTTTTCAAAATGGGCAAAGTATATGTCATTTGCTACAATCATATTGGGTGTAATAACCTATACTATTCTTATAATCATTTAGTCGTAATCTCGTGGTGAATATTAACATTTATGCAACAAGGGGAAATATTTGTCTATCGAGTGTTGCTGAAACAATTACTGCACATGTTATAAACAGTACTTGTTATAAAATATATATTTTGCACATGCGTGCAGCCATATAGCTTCAAATATACAGCATTAGCATAAATTCAGTATTGAAAAATGGCTTTCAAGCGTTCTTATTGGCTCCCTCAGCAGTGACTCTGAGGAAATAGTTACTGCTCAGACTGCTCTGAGCAGTAATTATTGCTTTCAAAACAAAATGGTTGCCAAAAATCCACTTGCAAACAAATCATCGAAGAAGAAGTTCGGAAGAAATTAAAGTACATAGCCTACTATTCCTCTAAAAGCAAAAGAAGCGACAATATATGGTGTTAACCTATTTCCGAATAACAAAAGCACCTTTAGTCTTAGATGCCTAAAAAATGTATTTAGCAATTTAAAACCGGAAAATAACCGAACCGGGCGACAAGATTCCGACAGCTGGATTCGTTTGACTCAAAAGTGGAAGAGCGAAGTAAATTATATTTACAACGTTTGAATATATTATTATTTTGCAATACTGAATTTATACTAAAACCGCAATCAGTCAACTCGGTAATCGCAACCTGAAATTTATAGTAAAGGTTTTAATAATAGTTAATATGTGAGTGTAAGTGTACTTGCCGATTTGTATAGAGTGCAGACATTAGATTCATAAAATTGTACAACTTAATAACCTGATCAAATACGTATAGAGATCTATTCACCCTGCAGGCCGGCCAAATATTTTCCTATATGTGTACAATTTATTTTATTTTTTTGTCATTTTATCTGATCAACAGTGTAATAGGGTCAGATCGGCTTGGCTATACAAGGTGGACGTTTGGGACGTTTGGTCCAATTTAATGTTCTGGGTCAACTCTCTGTAAATAAATTAATTACTAAATATTATAATATAATCATCTATAATCTATATACTCTTTAAAGTTTGAAGTATAATGATTTTTTTTTATTCCTAATGTAAACAAACGCTTTGTTTACATTTTGAACTCGGTGCTACAGTTGTAAAATATTAGATATATATTATACTGAATTTTTAACACTCTTCTGGTTCGCCATTGGAATGTAAGCCTGCGCAGAATGTATGCGCAGAAGAACGGACTTTACACGGTCTTTAAATAAACTTATACACCGTTATACTTTCACTATAATTTATTCTATAGTGATATATGATATGAAATTCCTATACATGAGTGCATATGAGTGCATGCACTCACGACCCAACGTTTCGAAGTAGACCGATTAAGATTCCAAAGTCTACTACAAAGCCAAGTGGCCCTTATATAATCTTGTGAATCAGGACGTATGACTCTGCTAGTGGGGCGGCCATAAGCATTCAATTGACCATTTGCGTAATAGACTCAATTTTGATCTAAACAAGTCCACACAAAAATCTCATCACAGCTTGAAAGAGCATCACAAAATTACTAATATTCGAAAGTTTCGTTGCGAAATGTTGTAAAATGCGGATAATATAGCCTTGCAAAGTTTGCACTTTTCAGTAGTCATTTTAGATTACAAACGGGAAACTGACAGCCTCAAAGGGTATTGGGGTGTGTGTGTGTGAGGGAGGGGGTGGGGGGTGACACCCCTGAAACATCTTATCGGCACAATAACATATTTATCGCCAAATTGTTTTCTTTGTTAGCAAAAATATTTGAGTGGCTCGGATTAAAAAGTAATAGCAAACAATTTGATAAATTGACGAAAATAATACCGAAAAATTAACAAATTACGGTACATTAATTCGAAAGTTAGGGAAAAATGGTATGTTTTGGGAAACAACACTTTTGGGAAAAGAAATATTAATTAACGACTCAATCACTCAAATGTTGTCGGCAAATGCGATACTACACTCCCTCCCCTGCTTTAGACTCATCGCTACCGACGCTACGGCCCTGACGAAGTGTACAATTCCACGAACAAAGCAGTAAAACGAAGTTCCCCAGCAATAATTTCATCATAAACTGCTATTTGGACTTGGAACTTCCACTTTTCAAGCGGCATACCTAATTAACTTTGTCTCGTGACTTGCATCGCAACAATCCGGCAATCGAAGACAAGGAAGTGCTCGTCAGTTGTGAAATATCCGCTGCAATATCGCACCCATAGCCGAAATCAAAGGTATATATTCAAACATTGCAAGTCCTATACATTCAAGCAAGCAGAAGGTAAGGCTGTTTCATACGTCGAACTATGGCGTCGAATTTAGTTCAGACGAGTTTAAATTGAACGAATTCAATGCGACGGTTGTGCGTTGTATGACACGAATGAAAATCGTCTGGTGAATTAAATTCATCCAAACTGACGTTTTATCCGCCCGTGGTTAGCGTGTCCTCGTTTCATACGTCGTATAGAATTAAATGCCTAAATTATATAATAATTTACGTTCGCCTGTTTCTGATTTCCGTGGTTTCTATTTCTGTGTACCACTAATCATAAAATGAATTCGTTTGAGTTAAATTCGTCGATTGAAACGAAACCCTTTTAAACCGTCAATGCACGACGAATATAATAACGAATTAAATCGTCGGAGATGAATTCAACGTATGAAACAAGCCTAAGTAGACATGCTCCTAGTCGACCTCCACTGCATGTTAGCGACTGAGCATCGACTTCCGTAAATTTCTTACTCGTTTGTAAAGCACTTCCTCGAAAATTCCTTTGCTTCCAAGTAAAGAGGAAGGACTTTAAGTGCTGCATTACAATCTTTTAAAAAACTTGTAGTCAGGCAGATAGAGGAACAAAAATTATGGAAAACTTACGGCCATACCGAGGGGCAATTCCATTTTGCGTTCATATTGTGCCCTGACGACTAGTAAGTACGTTTCTGTATGTCGGCGGCGTTAAACTATAATAGAGAGTTTGAGCAAGACAACGAAGTACGAAGACGAAGGCATACTTGACATTTTTTGCCGTCTGCACATTATCTTGTGCATACTGTGTTGGACATCACTGGTGGTTGCTCAACGTGTCTTCCCATGTGTCGCTGTTTATGAATACTGACCATAATTCTTGCCCTGATCCAGAAAAAAACAGCGAGACATGAAACTATATCCAGTCTTTGTCCTTGTGTCTTCGTGCAGAACGAAGTTCACAACGAATTTTGCCAAAATATTCGTTGTGAACGAAGGCAGAAGAACGAAGACGGGATATGGATTCATGTCTCGCTGTTTTATCCTGATCAGGGTAAGGATTTGGGTCAACATTCATAAACAGCTAGACATGAATCTCTAATCTGTCTTCACTCCTGACCCTAAACTTAGAATGCGCAAGATAATGTTCAAGACAGGCAAAAATTGTCAACACGTCGTCGTCGTCCGACTTCGTTCTCTTGCTCAAACTCTCTAATGTCTTGTGGGCTCCTGCCGACGTTTTTCTTTGAATTTTGTATTAAACTCTATTACAGTTAAGAAATGTGAAATTTCAAATACATTTCTAACACTAGGGATCCAAGGATAGTGCAGAGTTTCAAAGACAAACGCTATAAGGCATGCTTATTAATTGAATAGCTTTTCAAGCGTGGCTTATAGCCTTAATCACATGTCGTCACATGGGTTAAACTACGAAATAAACAGTTATCATAGGCATCTCATCTCATTATCTATTGTTTTTAATGCGTTCGGCACACGAGTAACCCGACGTTTAAAACAAGCCTAACACATCAGAAACGTCGTGCTTCGTGGAACTGACACAATTTATTGGAGCTGTCGCCAAGTATCCCCACAGGGCTACTGATATGCTAAACTTATTTCAAAAACTCATTAATAATTCAAGAGCAAAACACAAAGAAAAATCATAAGCGTGTGGTGGTTTTATATGTAATAAAAAATCACGTTAATTTACATAAACTTTAGCTTTGATTTTCTCGGTTTAGACAAAGCTTATTTTAAAAATTACTTCGCCAATGAACTCGTATAAGACGAGTCGTTTTTGAAGCTATTTAAAGCACTTGTAGTCGTGTTTTATCACATATAAAACACTCCGCTACGCGTCGTGTTTTATATGATAAAACACTCCCACGCGTGCTTTAAATAGTACTTAAATCTATGATTATTGCCAATGCCATCATCGTTTTAGAGCCCATCAGTATTGTACATTTGACTATTGTCTCAGTCACAACTTTAATTGAAATAGCTGTATAAGATATGTTATGAATAACACCAATTTAGCAAAAGTACTCCCACTTGTGCGGGCTTGTATTGTCAGCGGACATCTTACAGAAAGTAGCCAGTTCTGTGCAAAATGCAAAACTTTCAATTTTTCACCGCAATTCCGCTGAAAATGCGAGCCTGCGGTATTGGGAGAAAATTCGCTGAATATAACCAGCGTGTAATAAGCACTACGACGTTGTATTCCATTACAAAAAAAACATAAATCTAAAACACGGAAACGTAAAAAAAGAGGATTTATCCAAATCCGTTCCGTTCCGCATTTTATCTCCATATCCGTTCCGTGGATCCGCACCGTTTCGCATCCGCTTCCGCATTTTAACCTAGTTGTGACGTGTCACAATAACAAGCTCACTGATCTTTGAGTTATTTTGAAGGTCACGTTGTGTTCATGATTCATTTTCAGCTTTTCGCATGTAATCAATATTTCAATGGTTTCACCACAGGCGGCCCAATCTCGCAAGGGTCAGTATAAACTTATAGTATAAATGTATATTATATTATATTAATGTATATTATAGTAAAAATATATCGTAAAATATAAATTTTAAAATGAAATTGACTTGCCTATTTGATAGTGTGTGTTCTCCTTTTATTCCTCCTTTGTTGGACTAATATTTTCCGAGACTTTGTACTCGATGTTAAATTTTCACACTCAAATCGCTTTATTCTCCAGCATGTACAACAAATGCCGTTCTTCGAAAATACGGAGGTACTTCGGCGAGATGTACAAGTTTTGGACCATATTTTAACAATGGAAATCAAAACCCCTTTTATATTGAACTTGCCCAGGCCGAAAATTACTACGGCGAACGTCTGCGCAACCAGGCCTCCTTTACCGTTGGATTTACAGGGGGGAGGATGCAACTAATATATTCACGATAATATTTCGAATTAAAGTATCATATTCTACCATGCTTTCCAACAAAGAGCCGCTGTATATTACTTCTTCCTTAAATTTCTTCAATTTCCGTCGTTTAGTTTTCGTTTCTTCGACAACATCTCGAGTTTTATACAGTATCCGATCAAAGGAGTTTTTATTTTGAATATCAAATTTCAAATAATGTAAAACAGTCGCTATGGCGGCCGCGATTGGCTGGCTGTTACCGACCCTTGCTCAATACTCCTTGCTCTAGCTGTAGTGCTTTTAACTTTCAATTAGAATTTTCATGTACATCCTCAGAGATACCAAAAACATGCAGTTTCATATTATTTCATGTACAATTTATGCACTATTTAAAACATGAACAGCAGTGTTTTATCAGGTATAGTTAAATTGCTTAAAAAACGATCGATCTAGTATGTACTATATATAGTTCATTGGCGAAGTAATTTTCAAAAAATACGTTGTATGCCGTTTGCTCATGGATGTGACCTCAAAACTGAAGTGCCTAGAAAACGATTTTCATTTCCCATGTCTTGGAACTGAAATATTTTTACGGTAACTAACACTTTCGAACACGCTGAGTTCAAATCCGAAAAGTTCCCGCTCCGTAGACCCGCAGTTTTCTCGCAAACTGCTATTTTATCTTCACTAATTTCACAACAAATTTTATCATTGTTCAACGACACAGATGGATGAAGACATGCACACGATTGCATAACTCGAAATAACTCATTCCTATGAACCAGTCTCTACATTTAACAAAAGACCGTTTTCCTTGGATCATTTTGAGTTATGTAATTTTAAGCGCGTTGGACGCAGACGACATATCTTGTCTATACAACTTTGGGAAGGTACCGATATCGCTTTCTAAAATCCGGAGTTCTGGCTCTATATAGCAAATTTATATATAACAATATATAAATTCAAGTTAATGAGACAACACGTTTGTCACCTTCAAACCTGGTTATAATCTCATAGTAACAGGATAAGCTTGTCAACAGCCACAAAAAGGCGATATCCAATAGTCCAAAGTTCAAA